CGATGAGCGCAGCCTCGTTGGAGCAGGAGCCCGCGCGCAAGGTGGCCTGCTGCGGGGTGCCCCTGATCACCGAGGACATGCAGCCCCCCCCCATCCGCACCCTCTCCGGCACCGACGTCCACAAGCACTACGAGCTCATCCGCGAGCTGGGCAAGGGCACCTACGGCAAGGTGGACCTGGTGTCCCACAAAAGCACAGGTGAGGCCCGGCCGGGGCGGGGGAGGCACGTCCGGGGCAGAGGAACTGAGCGACCGTTTCAGGTTCAGCCCAGGGCCTAAACCCCTCATCCTTAGCCCCACCCCAGAGCCAACATCCTTAGCTAAAGCACTCCCTCGGCTCTTCGACACTTTGTTCCTCCCCTCAGCTTCACCCTGCACTCCAAACCCCTCATTCCCAGCTCCACCCTAAAGCCTGCACACTGAGTCAGAGCCCTCACCCTGGACCCCAACTCTCTGCCCCAGCCCTGAGCTCCCCCCTGCTCAGACCCCCTTGGGCCCACCATGCTGCCTGAATTTTGTTACGTGCACTAATATGACGGTGATGTGTCGCACGCTAAGCTCCCCCCCATCCTCGGTGCACATAACAAAATTCATTCCGCTCCAGAGCTCTGGCGGGTGTGGGCCAGGCCGCTGCAAGAGCCACGCGGAGCTGGGTTGCCATGGAGAGCAGCGCCCCCTGGGACTGCCCTGCTGCCATGGGGAGCTCTCGCCGGGGCGCTGGGTCCCCCTCCCCCTTCTCCCTGGGGCGGGAGGAGCCCCCGTGGCTGAGCCTTCTCCCCGGCAGGCACCAAAATGGCGCTGAAGTTCGTGAACAAGAGCAAGACGAAGCTGAAGAACTTCCTGCGGGAGTTCAGCATCACCAACACGCTCTCCTCCAGCCCCTTCATCATCAAGGTCTTCGACGTGGTCTTCGAGACGGAGGACTGCTACGTCTTCGCCCAGGAGTACGCGCCCGGGGGGGACCTCTTCGACATCATCCCGCCGCAGGTACCGGCCCTGGGCGCCTCTCGCCTGCCCCCGAGCCGGGCCTTGGACGGCTCCCCTGCCCCAGAGACCCCTTCCTGCCCACTGGCGCCCTCCCCGCCCCTGCTGCCCCAGGGCGACGGCAGACCCCGTCCATGCTGAGCTCGTCCACCTGACCCTGGGGGCAGCAAACCCGAACCCTGTGTCCTTGGGAAATATTCACGGGGGTCAAACACGAACTGGGGTCACGGCAACCTTCCTGCTCCCGCTTGCCCTGCGGTTGTAACCGGGTGCCTGAGGCATCACGGCCTGTGCTAACCCTTTGCTTGGGATTGCTGCGCGCTGTTAAACTCCCGGCATGCCTCACCCCAGAGGGGGCTGCATTTTAGTGGTGGGTGAGGCCATGTCTGGCTCCGGCATTTGCAGAGAGCTTTGGGCAAAAACGAACGACAGATTCGCCAGCCTTCTGAGCGCAGGGAGGAGTCGGCGGTGCCCGGGGGTCCTAGTCATCCTCTGGGGCTGTCTGCTCCTGCACCCAGCCTTCCCCCTCTGCACGGGGAGCAGACCGACCTGAGAGAACTGAAGGAGAAAGGGCGGCCGGTGAGGAGAAAGCTATCTCCCCAAATCGAATTAGACGTAACTGAATTGGAAGTGTAATGCAATCGTAATGGAAAGCGAATAAAAGGCAATGCGATTATGCAGCTGCCACGGACGCAGTAGCAAAGGCCCGGCAGACTGTGCCTGTGTGGGGTGGGGGAGGCCTCGGCTAGCCTGGGCTGTGGTCCCCTAGAGAAGGGGACCTGTATCTCCCCCCCCCCCGCCCGAGTGGCTGGCAGTTCCCACCCAGCTGCCTGGCAGCCCCCTGGGCCCGTGGGAGGCCGGGAGCCAGCGCGGGCGTCATTTCTGGGTGACGATGGTTTCTGCGCTCCGGCTCCGCTTCTGTGGGGCATGTGGCTGGGGCGCCCAGGCCGCAGGGAAGGCCTTTTAGGTCCCCTCTCCACCAAGGACCAGCCCCCGCTTGTGCTCCAGGACTTGGGCCTGCGTTGGGTGGAGCGGCCCTGCCCAGGCCGCAGGGAAGGCCTTTTAGGTCCCCTCTCCACCAAGGACCAGCCCCCGCTTGTGCTCCAGGACTTGGGCCTGCGTTGGGTGGAGCGGCCCTGTTCCCCTCGCAAGCCCCCTGGACCTCGCGGCCTCCTCCTCCCGCATGGCCGCCACCGCCGCCCCTTCACAGCCCCTCGGCGAAGCACCTTTCTCCCTCCTCCCCGGCCA